GACTCCTGGCACGATTGAGGCCTCCATCTCAGACTCTGGCACAGTCTCCTGTAGTTCCAGAGAATGATGATCCAACTCCGTCTCCGTCAACGACTGCTCCTGAACGGAGAAGATCTGGACGGAGCCAATGTCGCCCAGCATACCTAGCGGACTACACGTGCGCCATCCAGGTGGAGAGGGGTGTTGAGTCCTCACAGTTACGACTCCATCCACGCCTGCCCTGTTGCTGGTGGTTGCAGATTGGTTAAGACGCAAGCAACCAAAATAGTGGGAAATCCCTGCTCGTGTATTGGTTCCTACCGTCTGACAGCTCCCTATTTAAGCAGCTGTCAGACGGCAACAGTTTGTCAGTGTTGCTGCTTTCGCAGAGTTGCCTTGTTCTGTTAGCTTGTTGTGTTAGTAATAAATTCTTGTGTTGAAAGCAGCCAAGCCTCAGACTTTTGCATGCTTCGTTCTCCATACAGAACAATTATCACCCACATTTCAAGTAAAATTCACTCATGCTGTGTGAGAACAACCATTACAAAGAGCAACAATATCCACTAGAGCAAGGGTCTCCAACCTTTTCGACCTCAGGGACCAACAAGTTCATAATTTTAAATCCCACGGACCACAGGGGGGAGGCTCAGCTGCCTTTCGGGCCTACCTCTCTGCTTCTGTGAGGCCTCCATGTGGGAGGCCCGAGAGAAAGTGGCTGGTACAGGCACACAGCCTGGAAACCTCTTTTATGTTCCTTCACTCAAGAAGCTTGGTCAATCTGAGTGAAGGAAATTGAAGACGGGCACACTGACGGTGGCTTGCTGATGTTGGTGGGAAAGTCGGTCCCATATTCCAGAGCTGCAGTAGTCACAGGACTAGCCCTTTGGTCATCCTGGAGCAGCTCCTCCACCCAGGTGCACTGGCCTGCCAGGGAGCAGCACCCGGGTAGAGGAGCTGCTCCGGGATGACCAAAGGGCCAGCCCATGGTGGGGTTAGAAATCTCCATCATAAGGGATGGCACATACAATGTGCAACTTTGCAGGTGGTGCAATGTGCAAAAAGGAGCGCAGCCCTTGCTGGCAGGAACATGATAATGGTGCTGTTGTGGAGGGGGTGGGCCGAAGTGGTAGTGGCGATGGCTGGAAGGTGTGGGAGTGAAGTGCTACTTGCATTTGCATTCTGCCTTTGCTGCGGTATATTTGTGCCAGCTGGTGACGCCAAGGCAGCCCATGTCTCCTGCCGCTTGGGTCTTGGAGCAGTAAACCGTGTCCAGGAAGCACTACAGCTTTTTTCCATTTTATCATTTCTTTGCTACATTACAGTACACTGTTCATAACTGTCCTATTTTAAATTTAATCAGCATCAATCTAGAATCTTAACCGGTGTACCATTATTATTTTTTGCATTTTTTGCATTTTTTGCACAACATAATCAAGGCAATGCAGCAAAGAAAGCAAAGCTCAGTTCTCCTGCTTCATGTTAAATTTCTTTTAAGAATTATACTCATTCCCATTTTAAATGCATAGGCATATTCGTACCTGGGATTTTTCCACCAATCCAATACAAAGAGAAGTCTTTAAAGCCCGGTGTTTCTAAATCTTTGTTTTTAAATTGCACAGGCAAAAAAAGCAGGTTGGAAGCAAATGGAGGACTTGGTAATGGTTGGGGGAAAAATATCAATGAGAAAAATGGAGATGTCTGGAAAGGGACAGATGATGTAAATAATAATAATTTTAAAAAATAACAATCAAAGGGGATTTGGACAGCTAATGCTGGAAAAGCAAGCTTTGGAAAGCGCCAGCTGGGTACAAAAAGAGGAAGAGGTCTTTTTTTTTTTCCAGAAAGAGCCACAGGGAAAGAAGGGGAAAGAGCCAGGCAGGAGACAAGCCTTTGTGCAGAAAAGTCGGGCAAAGATACCCTACTGTCAGGTTTCCTCCTCCTCCTCCTGGAACCACTGCTGCTCTTCTTCCTTTTCTTCCCAGCAGTAGCCACCCAGCCTCCGAAGATTCAGTATTTCCACCTCATCCAAAAGGCTGGCCAGGAGTAGAAGGATGGAAGGGGTGGCAAGGGCTTTGTGGGGTCCCCCGATGGGGGATGGCTTGAAGTGGACAAAGGGCTCAGCTTGGCATATGAGTCAGCAGTGGGCTTGACCTGCCGGCTGGAGGGGAGCTGCTGCGGGGGATTGATGAGGCGGTGCTTGGGGCTCGGAGCAGTAAACGGTGTCCAGGAAGCACTTACAGCAGAGAGAAGCAGCCGGAGTCAACCCCAGCTTTGCTGTCCATTGCAGATCAGCCCCCTGCAAACTCTCGTCTCCCGGCCAAAGTTTCCTGCGCTGCTTCAGCGAGCGCTCCTCGAGAGATGAGAGTTTGCAGGGGCACGATGTCTGCAATGGACAGCAAAGCTAAGGTTGACTCTGGCTGCTTCTCTCCACTAACAGGTGGCCGAACTAACTGCCTGAAGGACCCCATCCTGTCCCTGGGAGTCAAAGTGCTAGTGCGAGCAGCATGGAAAACTTTGGCTGGGCTCCTTGAGAGAAATGCAAAGATTTCTCTGCGGACCACCAAAATTTTCTCACGGACCACCAGTGGTCCGCAGACCACCACTGCACTAGATAGCACATTGTGAAATATTATTCCTACATAGAACAGTACAGACAAGGAAAATAGTTAAAAAATCCTCATTGAGTTTTAATCTCTTTGCTCATTATCCCAAAGGTGCTTTTTCAGGAGGACTTCGTTGTTTTTTCTTTGAAGACATTTTCAAACCAAAATTGGATGCAGTATTCCAAGTGTGGCCTTACTGAGGCTTTGTAAAGCGGTACTAATACTTCAATACGTCAATTTATTTTCCAAAGCACCAGAGGGCAGGACAAGAAACAATGGATGGAAACTAATCAAGGAGAGAAACAACCTGGAATCAATTGTCCTCCTAACAGTGAGGACAATTATAGTAACCAGAGGAACATCTTGCCATCAGAAGTTGTGGGTGCTTTATCACTGGAGGTTTTTAAAGAAGAGACTGGACAGTCACTCAGTATCAGTATCCCTCAGTATCCCATCTGTACATGATCATCATTAACCATTCACTGCCATCTTTCAACAAGCAAAGTGGCAATGAAGAAGCTGGCAGGAAGTTGCAAGTTGTGGCCATGTGACATTTTGCTTAATGACCCTTTGCTTAAGAACTGCTAGGATTGCTATGATAAGTTGGCCTGGTTATGTGAGTTTACACTTTATGACCATGTTGCCTAGTGATGGAGTTTTCAGTCCCAATTACACATTAATTGAAGAGTGTCTATATTCAGAAAAAAAAAGCCAGGCATGGTTCTCCCAAATTCATTGGATAAAAAAGGGAGGAGAGTAAAGCACAATCAACATTGCATGATTCTGTTACTATTGCCTATCTCAGTATAGTCCTAATCTTCTTATAGAGTCTGTTTCCTGATCTAGTCTATGTTGAAGAGCTGACAACAGAATATCTGCCCATTCACCCACTGTGATAGGGAATCTGGACCCAGTCTAGTTCCTTTCACTAAGAGCCAGATCAGGGCTGAAATGCTCCCGGTTCAGACCGGATCACATGATCCGGTAGCGATGGAGGCGGGTGGTTCGGAGAACCATAGCAAAAATCCCTGCCCCCCCCATGCCCAGCTGAGCCGCACGATCATCAGAGGCTTTTTTTTTTACTTTTAAAAGCATTTTTTCTACAATCTCTTCGGCCAAAAAAAATGCTTTTAAAAGTAAAAACAAAAAGCCTCTGATGATCGTGCGGCTCAGCTTGGATTGTCAGAGGCATTTAAAAGAAAAAAACCCTTTTTTTCCCAACATACAGTTGGCCCCAACCCAGAGGGACTTTGGAAAGGCTGTTGGTATGTTTTTCCCTGAGCCTTTGAGTCATGATGTATGCTGTCCCAATTGGATGATGGTGTTTTTTCTGCCTCAATCACCATTTTATTGTTATATTGCTGTTTGTAGGTTCATGTTCCAGAGTTTTATTTATTTTTTTGTTAGGTTTGTAAGTCACCCAGATTTACCTTGATTGAGTTGGTCGGCTGTGTGTAAATGTTACCAATCAATTAATATGGTATCTAGAGATGTGGAAAATGTTTTCTCCGGACATATTCCAACCCTAAATTGACTATTTTGAGTGTTTTGAGGGTGGAACAAAATACATGTGTTTTTGAGTCTGCAAAAAAATGTGACTGCTTTGAGATGGAGGGCTTTCAATAGGGACATACAGTACAAAACATTTCTTCCTTGAAATGTCCCAACCTCAAAATGTTGATTAGAGAGTCCCAAGCAGGAAACAAAACATAGATTTCAAGAGTTCTGCATGGTGTATGAAACAAAATACATTAAAACAAACCAAAGTGTGAACCAAATCCCCTTTTTATAGGAACAGCTCTACAGCTGAAACCCCAAAGAAACTGCCTAACAATTCCAAAACTCAGAGAATAACAATAGAAAGTTATGATCCTGCCCATATGTGTGATTGAATCTTGTGCATTTTAAGCCATTCCCTGATCCATAGGGAACCTCAACCCCATCTCCAGGTCCCACAGAGCACCAGTCACCAACTGGTGGTCCGTGGACCACTGGTGATTCATGAGAAAATTTTGGTGGTCCTCAGAAAAGTTATTTGCATTTTTATATTGCACTAAATACTATTTATCTTTTTAAAAAATTCATATTAGTGGTCCGCGGGATTTAAAATTATGAATTTAGTGGTCCTTAAAGTCCGAAAGGTTGGCGACCCCTGCCACAGAGGTTCTGGGAATCTGCTATGAAACACAAATCCCATCTTCATTTTGTGTTTTAAACTTTCTTTTTGGGAATAAATACACTTTTTCTAGAATCACCTCCAAAACAATTGCCTCCTCATGCTATGGATCAGAAGTTGTCCATAAAACTTTTACAAAATCTTTCATTGTAAAACAGTTGCCTTTTTTTTTTTTTTGTAACCCTGCAGTCTAATAGACATTAGGAAACAAAGATTGTGGAGCAAAAGAAACTCAAAAGCAGTTTAGGATGCATAATTCATTTTATTGACAAGTGAAATTCATTTAGAAGATATTCCTTGGCTAAGCAAACAAAAGCAGGGGAAAGAAGGATGGAGGAAGATCCATGTTGCTTGGAGTAATATCTCAGTCCTCTGGATCTGTATTGGATTACTTTTTACATACTCCATAGTAGTTCAATGTTAATATTCCACGACTTTCACTATGAAGAGAAAGATATAGCACAGAATTTGAAAAGCCAGAAGATGTAAGCTTTTTCACAGGTACAAACCCAACATATTTTACAGCAACTACAATTGAAATGTAGGGTCTATTGTAATTAGCAGAATTAACCCTTGCTTCATCTTGGCTGACTGTGGTATGACAATAGAGAAAAAGCTCTCCAATGAGGACATTCATTGACTTCAGAACAATCTTTGTCAGCCTAACTGGAACAAATGCAAACAGCAACAAATTGAGGTCTCCTACAAAGAAATCTACTCAAGTGGTTCATTTTGGTATCATGAGTAAAACCGATACTTACATAAATGCATTGCAGAAAAGGCATCTGTTGGAATAGGTCACACCATCGGAGGCACAATGGGGCTGGTAGTCCTTGGTGCATTCTTTTCTGGGAAAGCCAGCACAATCAACCTTCAGAGAGAACAACATTGGTTTTATCTTCTCTTGGCTAATCTAAGGCTCCTAAAGATCTTGTGATCTTCCAAATTCAGTGATGTAAAAACAGTGTTTTCCATTTTGTAGAATTCCATGTGTATAGACTTCAACTCCCAGAAATCTCTGCAATGGTTATACTGGTTGAGGAATTTTGGACAATGAAGCCTACATATCAGAAGGAGTTGGCCATGTAGAGACTCCATGAGGAACCCTTGTGCTGCAGTGGTTAAAATGCAGTATTGCAGGTTAATTCTGCTCACAGCCTGGAGTTTGATCCCGATGGGCTCAAGATTGACTCAATCTTCCACCCCTCCAAGGTTGGTAAAATGAAAACCCGGATTATTGGGTGCAAGGTGCTGATATTTGTAAACCACCCAGAGAGTGCAGTTGCCTTTTGAAAAAGGCACTTTTGGGACAACCATGACCTGGCTGATTGAGAATCTCCATGGACAACTTTGGAAAATCTTCTTCTTGAAATTAGGCTGCCCTGAAGTTATGTGCCTTTTGGTATCAGATAAAAACCTTATTTGCTTATTACAGACTTAAATTTCTGTTATTAGGTCATCTTGCTCTTTTATGGATTGTAACCACTTGTAACATTCTCTTAGTAAATGGGCTACAAATATTTTATATAAATACAAATGACAAGGGCCAAATTGGATTTGGTTTCACGTATTTGCATTTAAAGAATGTTCTTAATATGATTGTTCTCTAAAACAAGTGGAAGGCAGTCCAGTCTAGAACTACTGCATTTCAAAGGAGAAACCTAATTTTTCTCCCAAACCCTTTATCTAATAATATTTACTCCCTACATTTAGGGACAGAGCTTAAAAATCCTAAATTCCAATTAGATAGTTTTGGCATGAAGGCATATCATTCTAGGGGCCATTCATTTAGATTCACTATCACGGAGAGAGACAATTGGGCAGCAAATGGATAATACATCATCTTTCTTTCAATATTTTAATCCTGTTTTGAGTTTTCAGCATCTATATTTGGAAGAGTTGGTAGTTGCATGTCTTGTCAGGCAAAACAATGGAATTCTTGTAGTGGAGACTCCCCTTCATGTCAAGCTTGACACTGCAAAAGGTAACATCTTCTTGTTATTTTAAAAAATCCAAATTAATGTACCATAAAGGAGAATAACTGTAGCTCAGGTTTGAAATGAAGGGTCCTTAGTGCTCTCTGAACTTATTTGTTTTCTTGCAGACATTTCATTACCCAAACTAGGTATCATTGTCAATGTTAGTGTGGATTAGCAATTATCGTATTTTTCGGAGTATAAGACGCACCAGAGTAAAAGTGTTTGAAGACTACAGTTGGTCCAGAACGCAGCCGCGCGAGCTGTCGTGGGTGCACCTAGGTACACCCACATTACACCAATTCTCCGCGAGCTACACTGGCTCCCTATTGGTCTCCGGTCACAATTCAACGTGTTGGTTATTACCTTTAAAGCCCTACATGGCTCAGGGCCAGGTTATCTTCGAGACCGCCTTCTACTGCATAGCTCCCAGCGACCGATAAGATCCCACAGAGTTGGTCTCCTCCAGGTCCCATCAGCTAAACAGTGCTGGCTGGCAGGCCCGCGGGGGAGGGCCTTCTCTGTGGCTGCCCCAGCTCTCTGGAACCAGTTACCTCCTGAGATCCGGACCATCCCCACCCTATTGGCCTTCCGAAAAGCGGTGAAGATCTGGCTTTTCCGGCAGGCCTGGGGCTGTTGATCTCGCTGTTGAGATCTGGCGAGATCCAGCCATGAATGGTGTGAATGGGTTTTAATTGTTTTTAATGTTTTAATTTTTAATGTTTTTATATATGGTTTTTAAATGCATTGTAAGGCGCCTTGAGTCTTTGGAGAAAGGCGGCATACAAGTTGAATAAATAAATAAATAAATAAATAAATAAATAAATAAATAAATAAATAAATAAGACGCACCTTAGTTTTTGGGGAGGAAAATAAGAAAAAAGCTGATTGGCAGGTGGATCAGCCTCCTATACCCCCTATCAGCTCAGAGGTGAATTTTAGCAACAGGTTCCTTGATTGTGAGCTCTGTGCCTTGCTTTTTTTTCTGCCTCTGAAACATCTGAAACTCCATTTCAGAAAAAACTTTTTCCTGCCCTGAAAGCCTCCGAAACAGAGCTTCAGAAAAAAAGACTCTGAAGCTCTGTTTGGGCGCTTCTTTTCTGAAGCTTCGTTCCTGATGCTTTTTTCAGCCTCTGAAACCTCCGTTTGAGAAGCTGGGCAGGGCTACATTTGGAATATAAGACTCACCCAGATTTTCACCCTCTTTTTTGGGGGAAAAAGATGTGTCTTATACTCTGAAAAATACAGTACCTAGTTTGGGTAATGAAAGAAAACAAGAAGACAACCAAGCTCAGAGAGCACCAAGGAACACTCCTTCCCCCAAATTAATGTATTATTCTCTTCTTGAAGTCAGAGACAATACATTTTCCACCATGTATTTTCCTAATATTAAGAGAAGGAAAAAGACATCTACATTATTATTCAGTTCTCTAATTATGTCTATTATACTATAAAGTCTATTTCCTTGAATGTATTCTTCCCCCCCGTAACATAAATCACAATTTTACCATTTCATACTAAAAACTGGTTATATTACATAATCCATAAAGTCCATATAAATTTCATCCCAAACATTGCTTTCATTGCTATCTTCCACCCCACCCCACCCCACATTCCAAAATCATTGCATATCTAAATTCTCAACTGTGATCATTTGAGTTTATTACATAGTTAACACTTACCGGCTTTTCTTCTTCTTCAATAGCATCTAAAAAGAAAGATTAAATCCATAAACAATATAAAATAAAACCATAGCTTGACTAAGGACCAACTAAATAATTTCTTTCACTGCAAAAAGAATGTATTGGACCGTACATATTTCTTTCTGTCTCAAATGCAAATATATTCAAATTCATACAACTATCACTGAATAATAGTTGGGCTAAACATGAGCAAAGTAAATATAAATTTCTTTAATCAGCTGACAACATAAAATTAAAAATAAGCAATCAAAAACAACTATACATTTATAATCCTTTTGTTGGAATACAGCGTTGGACTAAGTATAAGGGGTAATTAGTTGATTAAAGGTTTAATTGATTAAAGCCAGGATTCATGATCAGAAATGCTTTCTGGGGCTTTAACACTTGAAAGCTGCTTAGCCGTAATTTTTGGTATCTGTTGGTGTCAGGATTGTGGAGAGCTGCAGTTTTATTGTCTAAAGATTTGTGTGATTTCTATATAAATTGTAATTTGGGGTTGGAAATCCCTCATAAATACAACCCTCCTGTGAAGGAGCCTTTAAAATGCCCATTTTTGTGAGGCTGAGTGGGTAATGTGGATCTAAGTCTCAAAATGCCAAGTATCTGAAAAGGATCTTTTGCAAGATGGTGCTCGGCTTACCTGAGTACAAAAAGAAGAGTGCCAGGGTGAAAAACAGGCAAAAAGCCACCTTCATATTGGTAAGAGAGGGTAAACCACACCAGAGTTCTTCCACTGAAATAGCTTCTAGCTATCACGGACACAGCTGCTGTTTAAGCTCTAGCTGGGCATTTATGTCTATATATAAGCATATTGCCACAGCCTTATCAAAAGAAGATAAAGAGAATGTTGACATTGCAAGTTCCTATAGGCACTTTTCAGTTTCCCCTTTCTATTAGTATAGGAGAATGTGAAAAACTTGTGTTAGTCAGCTTCTATTAGTAAATATTGAGCGAATCTTTGGGAACAGTAAACATTTGTTAAATCATAAATCATAAGCAAGTAAATCATTTATACATTCAAAGGGGAAATGTGAAAAATATCATTACTCACCAAATTACAGTTATATATTAAAGAACACACAAACTACAGTTCTTAGATAGCCTCGCGATAATCTTCATGTGTTTCTAGATATGATCCTGATTATGAAATTCTACCACAATGCAATGAAATTGTGTTATTATTACAATTGATTGAAGAGCTATGGCTGAGAAGAATGACCATTTTGCCGTTCCTTAAAGAGCTTCTCTATGTGTATTCTTGCAATCTAGTAGCCAAGAGGCTGTTTCTCAATCTTGACAACTTGTGCAATGAAATTTCATTTTAATGTATGCCGATTAGTGTACATTTAAAGTTATTCTAAATCTAAGTCTAATTTTAAGGTATATGAAGTTCAACTGACAGAATACCTATTTCCTCCAAGTCCCATAATTCCATAAACTATTTTGGATATGTGAGCTCAGAATATTTAAATAGAAAAATAAACTGATCAAATAATATAGTGTGTATGTTACCATGTTACAAATAAAACAATGTGCAAACTTCTTCTAAGTGCTACACCAACATTTCTTATAATCAAGTGCTAAATGTGTAAGGAAATTGTCACCTTTTTCCACCTAGAATTAAGGTTGCTTGCAGAAATTATGGTATAGCTTCAGCCTTATATGACTGAAATGGCAATTTCTCAGCCCCAGCTATTCAATCAGTTGTAATAATAAAACAATTTCATTGCTTTGTGATGGACTTTCATAATCGGGATCATATCTAGAAAGATATGCTCAAGGTTATCACGAGGCTATCTAAGAACTGTATTCTGTGTGTTCTTTAATAAGAATATACAATCACCCTCACAAATGCATTGCTATCATTTAAACTAAAAGCATATCTTTAGAAGCCAAAAGGAGATCATCTAAAAAAGTAAATTAATATTCCCCTGTTATTTCATTTGATGGGGGCCAAGAAGTTCCCTTCAGGGAAACTGAAGACAGTTTTCATGGTTCATGTGAGCATTGCAACAATCCTTTCTCCTTGTATGAAATTAGGTTCAGGAACAGAAACTCCATCTTATTCTTCTGACATCAGTGACTGAAAATGTTGCTTTATTTTTTGGAGGGACTAGAAAATATGATTAGTTTAGGAAAACAAGCAGCTGGTATCTGAAGGTTGATTAAGTTTAGTGTTTTCCCTTTCACACACTTGTGGCTTTCCTTCCTCCTTAAAAGCGCAAAGTTGTAAGAATGGCAAACAATACAACATGTTATATATATATATACATAACCCACAAAGGTGGTCTTTCTCATTTTTAAATTGTAGGCTAGAGGTATGTAGCCTTTTCTGGCCAAGAACCACCTTCTGGGCATAATTCTGAGTCAACTTTTATCTCTACCTTTTATCTTTATCTTTACCTTAAGCTCCCCACCTCTTTTGTAAGCAAAATCCACTCTTATGCAGATATGTTTTTTTTTAAAAAAAAACCAAGAATGACCATCCATACTTGACAAATTTTAAAGAAAAAATAAATATGCCACTTATGTTTGACTAGATAAAATTTGAAAAATTTGGTTAATTTATGAGCTGATTTTGGCAAGATAGTGGTTTAGAAGAAGTGTCTTGGTTCTCTTCCTTACTATGATTTCATCAGCCTGATCAGGTTTTTTTCTAAAGTGCTGTATCTATGTTTAAACTGCTTGAGATGACCCCAGGACTTGTGACACACAGTTTGAGAAGCCCTAGTATAGTGATTTTCCCTGTGATATAATCGGGGTGGGCTTCAAAATTTTTAGTAAGGGGTTCTCTGCCCAGTTGCTGGGTGGACGTAGCCTAGTTGTCCTCCTGCACCACAGTGGGGGGAGGGATTTTTGCCTTCTCCGAGCCTCCGCGCACACCCTGCACTTACCTGCATCCAAAACGGGCTGCGTGGGGCTCCTGGTAGGGGAGGGCGGGGTGGGCGGGGCTAGGAGTGGGATTTGAGGGTTCTCCAAACTGCACAGAATCTTAGCTAGAGGTTCTCCCGAACCTCTGTGAACCCCCAGCAGCCCACTCCTGGATATAATCAAATCTATATAAGTAGCCATTTGCTTTTATTTGATTGTGATATGTAATCCTTTGAGACATGCATGTCAAGTTTCTAAGGAAAAAAAATGCCACATGTGTTTGGCTAGATAAAATTTGAGAGACACTTGGTTTGAATTTCTTATGGAAATGTGTTGTGATAGAGGCACACGTTGAGTTGTACCAATTTGAGACATTCCTTTTTAGAAGAGAGCTCAAAACAGAAGCAGAAAGTGACAACCAGCCTTTAAAAGAGGTAAGAAGAAAGGAAGGTTTTATTTACATTTTTCTCGGCCAAGAAATTCTCTTCCCTTTTGAAAGGGAATTAGAATTACTTTACGATATCCAGACCTCCTTTCACCTTTTACTTAAGACTATCATCCACATTTCAAGCAAAATGCACTCATTTTGCAGGCATAGGATAAATAGCAGAATAACAGAATAGAAGAATTGGAAAGGACCTTGGAGACCCTAACCCTAACCCTAGGTGAACCCCCTGCTCAAGCAGGAAACCCTATATGATTTCAGACAAATGGCTGTCCAATCTCTTCCAAAAAACCTCCGGTGTTGAGGTACCCCCAACCTCTGGAGGCAAGTCATTCAAACTGATTAATTGTTCTTAACAGTCAGGAAATTTCTCCTTAGCTCTAGGTTGCTTCTTTCCTTGATTAGTTTTCCATCCATTGTTTCTCGTCCTGCCCTCAGGTGCTTTGGAGAATAGATTGACCCATTCTTTGTGGCATCCCCTTAAATATTGGAGTGCTATTTTCATGTCACCCCTATTTATTTGTTTGTTTGTTTGTTTGTTTATTTATTTATTTATTTATTTAGTCAAGCACATATTAGATAACAGATATAAGAGAGCCGAAGTGGCACAGTGGTTAGGGTGCAGTACTGCAGCTGACTGCTAGTTCAGCAGATCAGCGGATCAAATCTCACTGGCTCAAGGCTGACTCAGCTTCCATCCTTCCGAGGTGGGTAAAATGAGGACTCAGATTGTTGGGGGCAATATGCTATTTAGCATACTGTCTTTGGTGTAAGCCACCCAGAGTCCTCAGAGAGTGGGCAGCATAGAAATATGAATAATAAAATAATAAAAATAAAATAGGTATAAACATGGTTATTAATACATGAAATGGGTACAAATAAAAGGGGACATTAGGACAGGGACAGTAGGTACGTTGGTGCACTTATGCATGCCCCTTAAACTTAAACTAGACATATTCAACTCTTGCAACTGTTTTTCAGATGCTTTAGTCTCCAGACCCCTAATCATTTTTCTTGTTCTTTGCATACTTTGTAGACTCTCAATTTTTTTTTTTTTTAATATTGTGGTGACCAAAATTGGGTGCAATATTCTGTCTCAGGAATTCTGGGAGTTGAAGTCCACAGGTTATAAAAGGGCCACAGTTGCTCACCCCTGGACTGTGGGGATGCTGCAATGGTCTTAAATGTGAAAAAAGGGTCATAAATCACTTTTTTCAGTGATGCTGTAACTTTGAACAGTCGCTAAATGAACTGTTAATACAGGTAGTCTAGAACTACCTGTATTAACACTTCATGTGATCTTGATTCTATTCTACTGTTAATCATCCTAGGACTGTGTTGGCCTTTTTGGCAAGTTCAGCACAACATACAGTACATATGTACATACATACATACATACATATGACAAAACTCTGAGGAGAAAATTGTAATATGTAGTATCCTACATAATAAGTAGAGACTTGTGTTGATTTTTGTGTTAAAACCTAAAGTTATCTAAATAAATTGTTTGTGTTTGTTTGTGTGTGTATTTATAGATAATGGTTATCAATATGGATGTAGATCTTTGTAGATTTGGCAACAGAAATGAAATTATATAAGGATTAATAGTAAAAAGCATCTTCCTTCATGAATATATACATATTTCAAGAATGGATTTGAAAGGCCCAAATGGCAATATCACTGAAACAACATTTCTAAGTGTTGTGGCCCATACGTGGCCTGTGCGGCTGGTGGCTGATTTGGATAGCGAGGAGGCTGGTGTGGTGCTGCGCCAGCAGCCTGTGCAGCTGGCACTCAAGTCAGACAATGAGGCTGGAGAAGATGTGGTGCCAGAGGCGGGGATTTAGCCAGGGCCTTCAGGACCTCCAAAAGCTCCCTTAAGTGAAGAGGACGAAGAGAAGGAGCCTCTTCTCGATGCATGGGCGCGCAGAGCTTCCAAAAGGCAGGAGTGGCTCCTCAGAGGCTTACTCCTCGAGAGTAAGACTTGGGGCTTGGGGCTAATTGGCCACTCCCTTAGCCTATTTAAGGAGGAACGCCAACTGAAGCAAATTGCAGGGAACAACTTCGTTCACTCTCCTTCATGCCTTGATCTTAGTTCTCTGCAAATTGCTTCTGGGCTTTCTGCCAACCATAGTAAGATTAAGATTATTTATTCTTTGAATTCTTGTAGGCTGTTAAGAAAGTTAATTAATAGCCTTTGTTTGAAAACTGATTTAATTTAGTAAACTAAGATTTGTACAGACTTTGTGTATACTGCGTTCTTTGAGGTCCGTAGCTGGGGCAGAACACTAAGTGATGTAGTTGTAAAGTGAAATATCATGTGACCACACCCACTTATAGGCTGTGTTTGTTAAGCAAATAACCTACAGTCATTGAGTGCCACATGATGTGATCATGAATTGCAACTTCCTGTCAGTTTCTCCATTGAC